CACCACCAGAGAAGTTAGGAAACAAGTACCCTAAGAGAGACATACATGGTCCCCCAGAGAAGGGGAAAGTGACAAGATCTCCTGAGCTAATTGGGAGCATAGGGGGAGGGGGAGAGGGAATTAGGAGAAAGAGAAGGGGAGAAGAGGAGAGGAGAAGAGGACATGAGGGAGCAGGAAGACTGAGTCAGGAGAAGAATAGAGAAGAGCAAGAAAAGAGATACCCTAATAGAGGGAGCCATTATAGGTTTAAGGAGAAATCTGGCACTGGGGAAATGTCCAGAGATCTACAAGGATGACCACAACTAACAATCTAAGCAATAGTAGAGAGGCTCCCTTAAATGTCCTTCCCCTATAATGAGACTGATGACTACCTTATATGCCATCCTAGAGCCTTCATCCAGTAGCTGATGGAAGCAGAAGCAGACACCCACAGCTAAACACTGAACTGAACTCTGGAATCCAGTTGTAGAGAGGGAGGAGTGATGAGCAAAGGGGTCAAGACCAGGCTGGAGAAACCCATAGAAACAGCTGGCCTGAACAAGGGGGAGATCATGGACCTCAGACTAATAGCTGGGAAACCAGCATAGGACAATTCCAGACTCCCTGAATGTGGGTGTCAGTTAGGAGGCCTGGGCAATCTATGCGGCCTCTGGTAGTGGATCAGGAGGTTTATCCCTAGTACGAGAATGGGCTTTGGGAGCCCATTCCATATAGAGGGATTGTCTCTCAACCTAGACACATGGGGGAGGGCCTAGGCCCTGCTCCAAAAGATTTGATGACTTTGATGATCTCCCATGGAAGGACTGATAGACTTTGAAGATCCCCTATGGAAAGACTCACCATCCCTGGGGAGCAGAAAGGGGATGGGATAGGGGGTCAGTGGGGAGCAGGGGAGGGGTGGAAGAGGGAGGGAACTAGGATTGACATGCAAAACAAGCTTGTTTCTAATTTAAATTAAAAAAAGAAGTGCATGGGGCTGGAGAGACAGCTCAGTGGTTAAGAGCCCTGGCTGCTCTTCCAGAAGACCGGAGTTCAATTCCCAGCACCCACAAGGCAGCTCACAGCTGTATGTAACTCCAGTTCCAGCAGATCTGGCTTCCTCACACAGATTTATATGCAGGCAAAACATCGATGAACATAAAAAAAAAAAAAAAGAAGTGCGTACACACATGAGACTGTGAATTACCATGTGCATTTTAGCGTACCCACCAGAGCAGGCAGAGGCGTGGATGGAGGAAGGACCTCCACCAGAGAAAACAAAAGGTGAGCCTAGTCTCCCCGCCCTACCCTGCATCGGAGAGGCATAGAGAAGCTACAAAGGCAAGAGGAGGTCTCAGCTAAGTTGGGTTTCAGTTTCAGTTCCAACAATGACATCACCCTCCCAGCAGACCCCTCCCCAAAGGAGTGCGTCCCCGAACCCAATCAATGCTGTATTCCATTTGTCTTTGCCTTTTCTTCTCTTTCTTTTTCCTTTTTTTTTTTTTCCTTTGGCAGGGGGTGGGGGGAGAGACAGGGTTTCTCTGTATTGTTTTGGAGGCTGTCGGTCCAGCCCGGCCTCGAACTCACAGAGACCCGCCTGCCTCTGCCTCCCGAGTGCTGGGATTAAAGGCGAGCACCACCACCGCCAGGCTTTTTTCTTTTTTGTTTTGGTTTGTCTTTGCCTTCTTTACGCTTCTCTCCCTGACCAGGCCTCTGCCCCCACGTGCTTCTGAGGTGCCTGAGGACACCCCAGCCCTGTAGACCTCCATCAGGGAAAGCAGGGGCCCCTGCAGCTAGTGCATGGGCAGAGACACAGTAAGTAGAGAGAGATGCGCAGCCTTCTTGCATATGAAGGGAGCTCGGAGAGAGAAGCTGAAAACGCACCAGGCCAAACGGAGGAGGAGGAGACAGACCGAAAGAAAAAATAAAGAGGGCCAACAGAGAGCGTGAGGAGAGACAGAAGAAGCAGGAAATATGGGGAGAGAAGGAAGACGACTGGAAATATGGCTGAACAGAGAAGGGCTTGCTGTGCAAGCACGAGGACCCAGAGCCCGTGTGACTATCAGGCACAGAGGCCCATGTCTGTATCCCAGTGCTCGGATAGCAACACAGGAGACGGGGGTGCCAAGAGAATCCATGCTCGGAGGCTCATGGGCCAGCTAGGCTCGCTCGGCATCGAGCCACCAAAGAGACCCCGTCTCAGGTGGAAGACAAGGAGCGCCGCAACTTGTCCTCTGACCTCCACGTTGTGCACGCGCGCTCAGACAGATGAATGTGCGCACACGCAGACACGGTTGCACACACGCGCGCTCGCGGCAAAACATACAAGGGAAAGCAACAGCAGCAAAACCGGAACAGAGGTGGAAAGCCGGGGAGGCGAGGCTGACAGCTGTGGACCACTCCCCCTCCTCAGGGCCTTAGACTTTGCTCTTCTGTTTCCCTGGTCCTTCTCCCCCACCCCTTACTTAGGGGCTCGGGTACCAGGGCTGTAGGAGGAGGCCCCCAACGCCCCAAACCAGCCGCCTGTTTTGTAAGGGGATGCTCAGAGTCTGTGCTGTCACCTAGGTAACCTAGTGCCTCAGCTCAGTCCCACCCCCGGGAAGAAATGAGGTGGGACGCGGGGGGGGGGAGCGAGGCGCAAGGGAGAGAGGGTGGTGCTCAGTGGGGCAGCTATGCTTCCTGTCTGGGGACCTGGTCCCCCCCTCCAAAACCTTGGCGCTCGCCCAGCCATTGTTCCTTCTGGGCAGTGCTCGGTGACGGCCCGAGCGGTCATTTCTTGTCACTGACAGGGCGGGATCAGAACAGGGGCCCCTTTATCTGACGGTGAGAAGGACTCCGCCCTGCCTCTGAGACTCTTAATTTCCCACAATGCTGTTTGTACCCAGCCTAAAGTGGGAGGGAGGCGGGAACGAAATCCAAGCCTTCATTTCTGTATCCGAGGCAACAAAATGGTAGCCGAGGAGAAAGGCCTGGCTGGGCCCTTAGGAGACTGCACGGATTTCTAGTGGAGAAGCCCCGCCCAGATCTGTGACTGACCGTTCCTAGAACCATGAAAGTCTGGGCCCCCCCCCAGGCTTCTGCACAATCACCATCATCATCACTACCAACAACAGTGACCCTGATTACAATAGCAGCCAGCATTTACCAAATGCCTACTATACGCGGAGAGCTCAACACCATTGTGTGCACCGTTTTTATTTAATTAGGCAACATCATTAAGGTTTAGCCTCCACTGTGGAAAGTGGAGGAGGAAACTGAGCATCCCGGGAGTTCCCCCAGGACCTCACAGCTGCAATACAGCTGATCTGTTCCTCACTTTGCTGGGTTGTTCCCCCCCGCCCCCGTCTTAACCAATGCACAGTTTGGATATTTGAGTTTCACCCTAAAGCCTTCATCCCCCCTGGAAGTATCCACTCGCCTCTCCCCATCCCGTCTCTCCCTCCGGCCTGAGCCACCTCTCCAAAGCCCCAGCTTTTGTGGACTGTCCTTCATGACAGCTTGGGTTAGATTTGAAGTTCCACGGTAGCCCTTGGGGTTGAGACGGTGATGACCTCAGCTCCCCTCTCCAAGAGAAAGTGGCTTGTCACTTCGCATCAGAGGCAGCAGGAGGTTGTTGGGATGGGTTAGGGTCACGTGGTGCCTTAGGCCTTGGCTCCCAAAGACACACACTGGCAACAATGTAGGAAGTTACAGGTCCTCAGGGGAGCTGGGGACAGGGACAAAAGTGGAGCAAAGGGATCCCTTCCCACCAGATGTGTGTGTGGTGCGGTTGCTCGTCCACCGGGCAGGCCCAGCATGGTAGACGCAGCCCTCGTTTCTGCATCTTGGAAGTCACACTTTCTGGTAAGCTCAGAAGAAATGGCATGCTAGCCAGACATGGCCGGTCATCCATGTCTCTCTGCACTCACGGGCGGAGGGGAAGGATTGTGAATTCAAGGTTAGCCAGGGTTACATAGTGAGAACCCCTGAGAGAGAGAGAGACAGAGACAGAGACAGAGAAAAACAGACGGAGACGTGAAAAGGGAATGTTGAAACACACATTGCTATGGTTTTTTTTGTCTTAATATATAAATTATTTTTACTATGTGTTATTCGTGTTTTGCCTGCACGTATGTCTGCGTGAGGGGGTCAGAAGTTCTGGAACTGGAGTTACAGACAGCTGTGAGCTGCCATGTGGTTGCTGGGAATTGAACCCAGGTCCTCTGGAAGAGCAGTCAGTGCTCTTAACAACTGAGCCGTCTCTCCAGTCCCACTATTTTTTCTTTTAATTGCGGGCACGTGCATGTGGGCATATCTGTGTCTGTGTGAGTCTGCATCTGCCTGAGCACAGACGGAAGTCCTTACATGGAGGTCAGAGGACAGCCTTGGATGCTGGTCTTGCAGTCTACCTTGCTTGACACAGGGCCTCTGGTTCTCTGCTGTGTGAGCCAGGCTAGCAGGCCTCTAGGCCTCTGGGGCATCTCTGGTCTCTACTCCTCTGCTCTCAGTAGGGGTGCTGGGATTCACCCCACTTCCTGCTGTGGTTCTGAGGTCCTCCCGAAGCCACCTCCCACCAGAATATCATCACAGGCCCTCTCTGAGAGGATGACCTGGAGCTTTTGCTGGGACCAGATGTTCCCCTGAGAGCTGTGAGCAGACCAGGACAGCTTCGTGGGCTCACACAGGGAGGGCAGTGGCCATCCATCTGAGGACAGAGAACAGGCAACCTGGAGACCGAACCATGAAACACAAGCAGCAAGCCCCCAACCCAGCAACAGCCCCTGCTTTCTTCTGGAGCCTGTGTACAGTTTGGGGGAAGCCCCTCTTTTAAATATGGGAGTTGAGGGTCCCAAGAGAGCAGGTGCTGCTGCCTGAGACGGTTCTGCTCAGAGTGGGTCTCTGTTCAGGACCAGGGAGCAGTGAGATGAGCTTCTGCCTGGGCTACTGTGAACCTTAAAGGGGACTAATCCAGGCTTTGGCCAACCACGCTCACTTCTCTTGCCTGGGGTCCTCAGCACCGTGAAAAATTCATGGAGCCCCAAGCGGGTGGACATCTGCTTTACTTATGGGCGGAGCTGCTGGGACATCGCTGCACACGGAGAGCTTCATAAACACACAGCATGTCTTTAAGTCTGCGGTTACGCCAGGTCCGTGAGGGCTACAGCAGTAACAGGAGGATTAAGACCCACATCACCGGGAAAGAGGGACACTAATGTGTGCCGTGTCCTCTTCTCTCGGCCGCCTGCCCTGAGAGAAAGCACTCAGCATTTCCAAATTGACTTAAATGGGAAACGTACGTGGTGGCGATGCTGTCCTTCAGTCAGCCGTCGCCTGCCCAGGGCAGAGAGATTTTAATTTTCAAGCTGTAATGAGAAAAAAAAAAAAAAAGGAAGCTCAGAATTAAATAACATTCCGGCAAAGCAGTCAGGATAGCCGCCCAGACTCTGAATCGGGGGTTGGGGGGAGAAATAGAAATTAAAACCTCCCGACTCGTTCACTAGCGCCAAGCGGCTGCGCAGTTGCAGAAGGGACCCTGTAGCCAGGGCCCTGAGGTCAGCCGGCTCATGGTGCCCCCGCCCCTATCCTCAGGAGACTCACAATGAGAACACAGATTCATGCCAGGTACTCAAAGCAGAGACTGACTCTCACTAGGTTTGCTTCCCAGGCTACAACCCTCCCGCGTGAGGTCAGGGGGGGGGCCGGGTAAAGGTTGATGTGGGTCTAGGGAGGTTGGTGTGTTGGGGGGTGGGGTGGGGGATGCACCTCCTCTCTGGTCTCCTGGGCACACAGATGCTACTGCTTTTATTTTTTTTAAGTGTGCCTGTCCCCAAGGACAGACCGCACTTGCATTTTTGGGTGATGAGGACGGCCAGGAGCCTTTAGAAAAGGCGTGACAGCCGAGGGCCTCCATTCTTCTCTGCCTGCTTCTGGGTGTCACATCCCAGATCTCCCAAAGAGATCTGCTGCCCTGGCCTAGGCCCTGCTCTCTGCCACTGTCTCCTTTCTTCGTCGGGCCTACCTACACTGACCAGAGCCTCCTCTGTGCTGGAACCTGTGTGTGTGGGGGGGGGATTAAGGTCTGCTGAAATCACTGAGCCCAGTTCCTGTTGCCAGGGATGAGAGACAGAGAGAGACAGAGAGAGGGGGGGGGAGAGAGAGAGAGAGAGAGAGAGAGAGAGAGAGAGAGAGGGAGAGGGAGAGGGAGAGGGAGAGGGAGAGGGAGAGGGAGAGGGAGAGGGAGAAGGAGAGGGAGAGGGAGAGGGAGAGGGAGAGGGAGAGAGAGGTGGTCAGAAGATTATCAAACAGCACAGGCCATGCTAGGCAGGGGCTCCAAACCCTGGCGTCAGGATGGTCTAGGTGAAACACTGCCTCCAACCCCATTTCTTCCTCTGCGACAGGGCAGGCTGCCAAGCCTGATCAGTTTAGTCATCTGTGTAATGGGGATGATAATGCTGGCTTTGCAGGGTTTGTGCTAAGATTAAGTGCAACAGTCTTGGCGACTGTTTGGAACCATGCCCGATCTGCGGGAAACACTCGTTAGAGACCAATTAGGATTATTCGAAGTATCCTAATGTTAATTCATTAGCCCGGACAGGGTGCTTATTCCGAGCCAAGCGGGTAGCAACTGTTCAACGACAGCCCTTGTGCTAAGGAGTCCACAGTCTGTTAGAGGTGACAGATGTGCAAACAGACTCCTGAAAAAAAAATGCTTGGTCACCACCGTCTCTCTGGGAGCTGCCACTTTCTGAGCCTGACCATGTGCCGGACACATGAGGGGTTTTCGTCTGGTCTTGAAACAGGGTTTCACTGTACAGCCCTGGCTAGCTGGAACTCACTATGGAGACCAGGCTAGCCTCCAACTCCCAGAGGTCTTCCTGCCGTCCCATCCAGCAGCTGGGACTAAAGGTGTGCGCCACTCCACCCTGCTCCGTGAGATCTTAAAGATCTTCCGTCTAACCCCTCACCCACTTTCAGGGGCTCTATCACCCTCGTTATACAGAGATTTCTCGACAGTTGACAACCTGTGAGTTCACGGTGTTCGAAGAGTGACGTGTGTTGCCTCGGCTCTGAAGAAGGGCTCAACTGGACCTGAGAAGGACCCAGGGACAGACATCTTTGCTCGGGAGCAGAGCCTGGAGAGCAAGGACGCTGCCCAGCGCCCCTGTGGGACTCCAGTAGACCTGGATCCAGTAGATCCCAGCTCCCGCGGGATCCCCGAGTCTAGAGATCTCTGAGTACCCATGGTTCCCTGCACCTACCCAATAGCTGGTCCCATGTGTTGTGCCCTTGTGGGACTCCAGTAGACCTGAAGTTGCTGGCAGCTCCCGGAGGGATTACCCCCCTCAGAGATCTCTGACTCTCAACACTGTGTCAGAGCCTACATGGAGGGTGATCGTTTGAGAGACATGGTAAACCTGGATGAAGGATAGTTTTTTTTTTTTTTTTTTTTTTTTTTTTGGTTTTTCGAGACAGGGTTTCTCTGTGGCTTTGGAGACTATCCTGGAACTAGCTTTGTAGACCATGCTGGTCTCGAACTCACAGAGATCCACCTGCCTCTGCCTCCCAAGTGCTGGGATTAAAGGCGTGCGCCACCACCGCCCGGCGAAGGATAGGTATTTTAGTGAGACTATACTAGGCAGTTTGTAATTCCAGAGGATCCCAGCTGAGTCACGGATCCCCTCGTGTCTGGTGCCCAGGCTAGGGGACTAGTCCCAAGAAGTCAGGAGTGGGGGTCCTGGGGCCCCAGGGAGTCCACGAGGTGCGGTTCACCCAGAGACAGGCGTCTCAGAGCCTTGGCAAGCTCCAGCCGGATCTGGAGCAGGTAATCCTTTCTGCCAGGCTTAGCCATTTTCCTTCCTGTCTTTCTCCCTTTGATAACAGCCACCCAGAGGACAGCCATGTTGGCACAACCACAGGTCTGAGGGGCAGTGCCAGGATGCGGCTTTACTGGTTCCCAGGCTGGGAAAATGTGGACTCATCCTCATTAGCATTCTTTTTCAGGAGCAGGGAGAGGCGAGCACTACGGACCGGAGCAAGAAAGAGGCTCCCAGGGTTAAGAAGGACCACCTGCCCCACTCCCCACCCCCGACCAGTGCGGTGCAATGCTCTCAGCGCAGAGGTTTTTGAGGAGGCTTTGGGGGGAACTTGACCACCGCGAGGTGGGGGAGGGAGCTTGGGTGCCCGTGACAAACAGTTGCTCTCTATATACTTGCCCGGATAATGTGATGAATGATGGACAGGTACCCGAGGTCTGACTTGCCACTCTGTCCTTTAAGTAGCTCCCATTAGCCTCACAAGCCTAATTCACTCCTCACACGAAGAAGCTGGCCCTGGGAGGGACCGCTCCCCCCGTCCCCCCCCCGCTGAAGCAGGAAGCCCGTGCACATTCCAATAAAGCACTCAAAGAGCCAATTATTTCTGGGCTGCCTATCCCAGAGCAGGGCGCAGGCAGCCAGATCTCCAGCGTTGCTGTCATTGCCTCTGGCTGTTGGCGAAATTAAACTTCTGGAGAAATCAGAACGAGCCAGGTGCCGAGGGGGTTGGGATTACTTACCTGCCTGGGGGGCCCTTGGTATGGGACTGGGTGAGGGACTAGGGCACTTGGTGGGGGACAGAGGACATCTTGGTTCTGTTAAAAAAAAAAGTGGCCTTATAAGACTTCACAAGTAGAAACTATTCACTATGTGCATGCTGGAACACGCGTGGAGTATACACCAAGCCTTCCTGCTACCCACTGGGATGTGACAAATCTGCTACGCTCCCGGACAGTCCCTGGTGCCTACCTGATGCTTGGCATCGGCCCCGATCGCTGAGTGAGTGTGCGCACTGCGGCCGTGGGCGGTCTCCTCCAGCCCCCATGCCAGGTACCTGGAGAAGCACCCCTGCTTGGCTGTTGGTCTGCTGGGTGGTGCTGCACACTTAATTTGGTAAATCTCCCCAACTGTGAGAAATGGCCTCCCTGAGACAGGATGGGTGGGGTGGGCCGTGTTCTGGCTGAGCACCCACAACGAGAAGGCGCTGTGTCCGGGACCTCTCTCATTCTCTCTGGCACCAATTTGGAAACATTCTCCGGCCCCCACTTAAGCCCCCCCCCCGTCTCCAGCCTCTAGCTGTGTCCCTCCGGCATTTTTAGATATCTCTTATGCTTCCCATCCACCCACCAGCTGTGACAATCAGCTCTACACCGGCGCCGTGACCCGACAGCAGCCGTCCTCTCAGACCCAGGGCCTTCTCCTTTTGCTTCTTGATTTGCAGACTCTCCGTTGCCAGGGAGAGCTACCTGCAACCCAGCAGGGCTGGGTAGTTAATACCTTGGGGGCAGTTCTTGGTAATGAGGATGGACACCTCTAGGTAAATGCGTTCCCTTTTTGGTCCCTGGTGGGCAGTTCATGAAGGTTTTCTGAACATTTCTGGGTGTTTGAACCTGTGACATTCTGTGTCATGCCTCTGTCCCTCACTGCATGTGTGTGTGGGGGAGTGTTCTCTGAGACCTCCACAGACAGCAGAGTAACAATCATTGGGAGACAGTTTCTTTTGTTGTTGTTGTTTTTGTTTTTGTTTGTTTTTCAAGACAGGGTTTCTCTGTGTAGCTTTGAAGCCTATCCTGGCACTCGGTCTGTAGACCAGGCAGGTCTCGAACTCACAGAGATCCGCCTGCCTCTGCCTCCTGAATGCTGGGATTAAAGGCGTGGGCCACCAACACCTAGCTCTCTCTGTCTCTGTCTCTGTCTCTGTCTCTGTCTCTCTCTCTCTCTCTCTCTCTCTCTGTCGGGGAAAGGTAGTTTGAGACTGAGTATGTGTAGCCCTGGCTGTCCTGGAAGTCACTCTGTAGACCAGGCTGGCTTCGAACTCAGAGATCCACCTGCCTCCATCTCCCGAGTGCTGGGATTAAAGGTCCGTGCCACCACTGCCTTGCAAAAGAGGAGGCACCTTGTTGATGGGGGAGGTCCTTCTGTGTATATGTTTCTCTTATTGGTTGATGAATAAAACACTGATTGGCCAGCAGCCATGCAGGAAACATAAACACCCGACCAAGCCAGGAGAAGGCTGGGGTGGGGGGGAGGGGGCAGAGAGACGGGTAAGAGAGACAGCATGCTGCCCAAGGAGTAACATGCCAGGTTATGGGTAAACCACAGCCTGATGGCAATTCGTAGGTTAATAGAAATGGGTTAGTAATTGAGAGAGAGAGCTAGCCAGTAAGAAGCCCTAGCCATCGGCCAACAGGTTGTAATTCATAGACGCCTTTGTGTGTTCGTTTGGGGCTAAACAGCTGTGGGACCAGGCGGAACAGAAACTTCCATCTACAGTTCTTTTCTCAACACAGCTAAGTTGGTTGGTTCAAACTTCGGGAGTCTGACCCTGAGTGGTTTATTTCGGGCATATTTAAGCACAGCACGATTTGGTGAAAAACTTTCCCTGGGTGATAATTAATTCAGTCCCATGGGCACAATCAAGCTTACTTGAGGAATGAAGTAAGCTAAATGAAGACCAGACCTGACTCCATCAAAACTCTTCGTGACATACGTGTGAAACCCTCCATGAAGATGGGCTCTACAGATTGAGAGCACAAACTTATGGTAAGGGGCTGGAGGAGGATCCCAATTGGTGGTGTGGTCTCAGGCCACACAGAGAGAGAAAAAGGTCCCCAGGCAACAGCTCCTACGTCAGCTCCCAGCCTTCTGGGTGGACAAAAAGGTTATCCATCCATCCCTCCCTTTGAAGGAATTATCTTGTGTCTTTAACCTTCCAGGTTCCTGTAGTGCATATCTGTCAGCAAAGACCTCCGTGCCTTCTAAACCTGACCCCTGCTCTCTGGATCCCAACCTCTTTTTCCTCAGGCCCAGGCTTCAGGGGGAACTCAGGCTGTCACTCTTCCTGGAGCCCTCAGCCTTCCTTCCAGAGGAAATCCTGGGGATTTTCTCACCCCGCATTTCCAGGAGACTTGCCTACTGCCCGGAGTACTTTGACTCTGCTAAGTCAGGCCAAGACTTGAACGAGCAGAAAAAAGCAGCCAGAGCCGGGCGGTGGTGGCGCACGCCTTTAGTCCCAGCACTCGGGAGGCAGAGGCAGGTGGATCTCTGTGAGTTCGAGGCCGGGCTGGACCGACAGCCTCCAAAATAATACAGAGAAACCCTGTCTCGTAAAATCAAAAAAAAAAAAAAAAAAAAAAAAAAAAAAGAAGTAGCCGGGGGTCCTGGGAGAAAAGTGCTCCGGGCCTAACCCCCCCCCAGGCAGCCGATGACCCAATCGGGAGCCAGGGTGGAGCCAGAGAGTGCAAAGTAGGAGAGAAGCTTGCAGTTCCAGGGCACAGGGAGCGGAGCAGGGTTGGCTCTGCAGGCACGAGGACTGGGCCCTTCCGGTGCACCAGGGCAAGGGTCCTGCTCTTCCCGCTCACTGCTGACCCCCGGTAAAGAGCAGGCGCGCTTAGCTCAGAAGTCAACGGGAAGCATCTTTTAGTGTGTGTCGTTGTCCCGGCCACCCCTCCCCTACACAAAGGGACAAAATCGTCCCCTCTTCTAAGATTACATCCCTGGGATCCAGTATGTATCCAGGCTGGACTCAAACTTGCGGCGATCCTCCTGCCTCTGCCTTCTGAGTGTTGGCATTTACAGAGGCGCGCCTGCTCTGACTTTTGCTTTTTTGTCAAAGGCAAGCTCCGGGCTTCAGCTTCCTATCCTTCTGCCTCAGCCTTCTGGGTGCTGAGAATATAGTCACGGGTCACCACACTGGGCTGCGGTTTGTTGTTTTGCTGAGAGACTGCTGAGCGAGGGCGCAGCCAGCCGCTGCCTCCTCTCCACCCATGGTCAGTTTTGATCCGATGGCTTTACTCATCCGCTCTGCTTGTTCTGCTCGGCTGGACTCTGCTCCTGATGCCATTAGTCACCCCCCCCCCCCATGGTTCTCAGTCTGAGATAAGCCCTGCTCTGTTGCCTCCCGGGGAACCAGGTCACGGGAGTGCAAGCCACAGAGATCCCGGTCTTTCGCCCGGCACCCACCGGAAGGCGTCTGTCTGAGTGAAGGAAGGAGGGAAGACAGCTAAAATTTAGGGTAGTTATAAAGAGTCCACGGAGAGCAGAATTGACTGTTTTTCATCGAGTGACAAAGAACAGGCTGAGCTGGCAGCCATAGGAATGGGGGGGCGGGGTAACGGGGAGAGAATCCATCATGACAGGCAACTGAGGACAGACTGGAGACCTCTCCTGCTGCTCGTCACTGTTCTCCTGTGTGGAGGTGACAGAATAACCTCTTCAGGGACCCACGGAACACAGAACCCTGAGCTGAGATTCCTTGATTGCTGTCGGGCTACTCTGAGGCGGCCCCTGGGCAAGGGTGTCCAATTAGGCAGCCAAGGCGACAGGGGGTTTCCAGGTGACCGTGCAAAACAGTAAGAAATGACACGCTCAGAGGGAAGCCGAAGAGGCTGATGAAGAAAGACCGTTCACACATAGGCGGGTTATAGAGAAGGCAGGAAATGGCGCAGAAGGAGCCAGAGCCTAGCACGGCAGAGGGCCTATGGACGCATGGATGCGTGCGTGTACATGTGTATGTATGAATGCGTATTGCATGTAATACACGTACTGTATGAATGCACGAATGCCTGAGTGTGTGTGTGTGTGTGTGTGTGTGTGTGTGTGTGTGTGTGCGCGCGCGCGTGCAGGAGCCTGTGGTGGTGAGAACAGGCCTTGGCCCCCCTGGAACTGGAGCCATGGAAGATCGTTAAGCTGTCTTAAGGTGAGTCCCGGGAACCCAGAGTTTAAACTCACAGCTCCCATGTCAGGTGTCTAGCAACAGCCTGTAACTCCAGTTCCAGGCCTTCTGATGCCCCCTTTTGAACTCTGCTGGCACCCACTTGCCCTTTCCCTGCAACAAATAAAATGTGTGTGCAGCGGTGTGTGTGTGTGTGTGTGTGTTGCGTGTGTATGTATGTGTAGGGTGTGCATGAATAGGAGGCCAAAGGTCAACCAGCCTTGACTGTTGTCCCTCAGGTGTCATTCATGTTACTATTTGGTTTGTTGTTTTCTTTTCAGTTCAATTACTTTATTTTATTTTGTTACTTATTATTTACATAGTTTTTCATGACAGGGTTTCTCTGTATAGCCTAGGCTGTCCTGGCTGTCATGGCCATTCTGGGACTTGCTCTGTTCATCAGGCTGGCCTCGAACTCATAGAGATCCTTCTGCCTCTGCCCTCCTGAGTGCTGAAATTAAAGGCATGCACCACCAATGACCGACTATTTTATTTTATTTGTTTTTTTGAGACAGGGTTTCTCTGTGGCTTTGGAGGCTGTCCTGGAACTGGCTCTGCAGACCAAGCTGGCCTCGAACTCACAGAGATCTGCCTGCCTCTGCCTCCCGAGTGCTGGGATTAAAGACATGCGCCACCACCGCCAGGCACCCGACTATTTTATTTTATTTCGTGAGTGTGTACAGGTGCATCCATGCATGCCGTAACCCATGTGTGTAGGTCAGAGGACTACTTGCTGAAGCTGGCTCTCTCCTTTCACCATGTAGGTACTAGGGATCAAACTATAAGAGTAGTACATGGGAGCAGGGTGGTGGCGCACGCCTTTAACCAAGCACTCGGGAGGCAGAGGCAGGCGGATCTCTGTGAGTTTGAGGCCAGCCTGGTCTACAAAGTGAGTTCCAGGACAGGCTCCAAAACTACAGAGAAACCCTGTCTCAAAAAACCAAACATCAAATGCTTGCCAGTCATCCTAGCTTCTTCTTCTTCTTCTTCTTCTTCTTCTTCTTCTTCTTCTTCTTCTTCTTCTTCTTCTTCTTCTCCTCCTAATTATTATTATTATTATTATTATTATTATTATTATTATTATTAGTGCGTGCTGGTGATAAACTCAGGTGCTCAGGCTGGTGTCATTCACACATACTTTATTAATTGAACCATCTCCCCAGCTCCCGTTGAAAGGGTTTACCAGTGCTCGCCCAGAAAGGGGAACGAGGAGCACCGGAATAGTCACAACTTGCTGCACAACTGTGTTACCACAGGAACAGTACCACTGCAGCAGAGGGGCT